TATTTTTCTGGGAAAAAATAGTGCACGTATATATAGCCGTTGGACGTTAAGGTTAACTATTTAAAGATTCATACACTTAGGGATATTTATTTATGATGATATTCATTATACTTTTTAACATTGTGCTCGAAGTACAAGGAAGCTGAACGTCGTACACATACGTTCTTCCAGAAGTTACTACATTATGCTATAAATTATGCTAAATCCAATAATCTGGAGATTACAATTTTTCTCACGACGTGTATAAATAACGTATATAAATTTCTGCGCAAACGTTAGAAATCCTCTATGTGAGATTAATATTCCTTATATCTTGTATATCTTCTTTTCATTTTCTCGTTGTATCACAAATTTCGGTAAGACCAATAATTTAGATTCGACCACTAGTTATTCTTTTTACAACGCGTACACGTGCACAAATTTCAACACGAGCGTCAGAAATGTTCGCGATACGCCCAACAATTTGTTATTCGAGCAAACTCGCGAATCATGCGATAATCGACCTCGCCGATCTCCAGCCGCTTTATCATCGAAATCGAATCTTCAAAGACAGGGTGCAGGGGTATCAACGATGCTCGTGCACTCGTATTGTGCTATTAAATTGATGTCGGTATATGGAGATAACAGCGAGATATAATTTGTGCGCTGGTCGCAGCTCGTCAAACTAAATCTCCGGCCTGGTCAATGGAGTATATCTACTAATTCCTGTTCTCCACCAGCATCCTGATTGCACGGGCACTCGTCATTCTCCATAACACTGCACTCGATGCACCCGATGCTCGCGGTGCGAATGAAAGGGATATAATTAATGTTTCGAACAACTCACGCGATTATCCAGTCGAACTTCCGAAATTTCCAATCAAAAAATCTCCGTCGAAGCGATCGTCCTCGAATCCTGGAAATTTTCAAAATATCGAAAAGCCTGCGTCAGATTTTCTACCCAATTTCCCGGAAAGAGGACACAATTCCGCTCGTGATAAGTTCCGCGATGCTTATCTGCTTAAAGCAATATCGGTGTTTTACGTGCGAACGATCGCGTCGATCGCCGATTTATTGTTACTTCTTTCCCCTATTTTTCTCTCCTCGAGATCTTTAAGTGTATCATGCGGTCGCTGCACGATCGTTTTGCGTCAGTGCTTAATTAACCGGCGATTAGATTGCGTTAGATAGCCAGCCGTTAATCTCGTCTCTCATCGATAGAGGTTTCGTAACGTTCAGCCCTTGCAGATCGCGGCTTTCTCCTCTTTCACTAACCAGTGTTAACACGCGCACCGTTAACGACTCGAACGATCTACGACGATGTTTATTAATAAAATTATCGAGGGAGTGGGACGGCGAGGTGATTTATTGATCAGTAGGAAGTGCACGGCTAGCCTGAAGCTCGTACCGTTCTCGCTTATACCGATTCCCGCAGGTATCCCTGTAACCCGTTATGTCGTGGTCGCCATCTCGGTTTCTCGGTGTCGATCCGTGTCCTTGACATTGCTCCGGGTTGGCGAACGAGTCTAAAAGAGGACCTTCGAAAGTCTCACGAATGGTACCAACCGCCACGTGCAGCGCGGCTTTCGAGTGAGCAATTTCTCAAACAAGATAACACGTACGCGTTACACGTACGTATTGTAGCTAACTCGGAAGGAGTCAAACGGTTCCTGACCTATAGCCATGCACCTATAAAATAGGTACACGTGAACCATCTCGATCGGTCAAACGCTCGTGTCCATTAACTCGATACTAGGCAACGCGTGTCCCAGCTGATTTCTCCCGATCTCTCCATACTCTGTTTCTCAGCCTGAGATCGTTCCTCCTAAGCGTCGTATTGCTCCAACGGCGGCCATCGGCTGCGATAACCGACCTAACTTAATCACAGCTATGGATGCACGTTGGATACGACGACGTGACGCTGGAGGAGGCACGATATCGGCTTTTGTGCAACGATCGAGCCGTTTCCCGGGTTATGTGCCACCCTGTATTACGGATGGCTTCCGCGAAAATCCAGATCGGGTGCACGCGTCGTTCTTTCTTGTCCGCTGACCCGACAGCTCCGACTGGGTGCCCCGGTGCAGCCGTGGCCTGTGATCGATCGCGATGCACCGGCTGTCCGGAACCGATATCTCGTCTCTCTGATCCATAGTTCGTGTATCTTTCCTTTGTCATCAGCGATTTAATCCCTCCTGCAATCGTTCCTCCATTTTCACCGTTTATCTCGTCTCATCGACGGTGGCGCCACGATTAATGCTCGGATACGAACGTTCTCAGGGTCCGATCTCTATGGATTATTTAGGAACCGCGGATGGCAGACGCGAGTTGCGGTTTCGATTACAGTCGTATCGCGTTTAGATGCTCGCGGTTATACGCCAGGTGCTCGCACGCGGAGATTCCCGCTGGCTCGCGTATCCACGTGCAACCTCGATTTATCGTATGATCGATTTTAGCGGTGCAAGCGCACCGACCATGCAACTGGATCATTGTTTATGCATGCCTCGATATGCAGAAAGAGGCTGCGGGAATAACGCGTCGATGTCGTATGATTAATGTCGCCGGAAGCTCGACGAGTGCCATTTCTTTCCGTTCGCTGAGGAGAGAATGGTAAATAGTTAGGTAAAGAAAATATTGACGGAACCGCGTGGAACGTTGGTTTCTTGTTTTTCTTGGGAGAGGCTTCGCCGAGCAAGCGGCTGATTTGCGAGCACCGGCGGGTCCCACATTTTCCACGCTTTGTCCATTTGTCACGGAAGTCATGGTAGATAGAACTAGCAGCTTCCCGCGATTTCCGGAACCTCTTGATTTACGGCCCTGAGAGTATTTATCGTTAGACCACGGTTTATATGATTAATAAGACACGCGTTATATGACGCGATCTTTGTATAACTGGGCGTTTATCTTGCCCGATGAATAATCGGGATTTGCATTATCTCGAGAGAACCGTGTAAAATTCTTGATTTTTAATTCGGTAACATTTATTTATAAACTTTGCACGATAGGCTAATCGATAGAGAATTGCTACTATAACACTGTGCAGTTATCTCGTGTCATGTGAATAGTCGGTTTGATTTTTCTTTTGGTGGAAATATTTAATTTAGGAATTAATCAAGATCGTTCATTTTTTGATGGAAATATCGGAAAGGGAACAGTTAAGGTTCTAAACTTTAAGTTTAATAGGAGTTATTCGAAAACGTTTTAGAAGGTCGAGATAATTAGGATTTACATATTGGAATAAAATTTTGTGAAATAAACGACAGGTCGAAGTAATAATTTCGTTGGAACATCGATTGGTCGTACTTCACACCAACCTTGCAGCCTCTATGACTACATTTTGCGGAACGCATTAGCCTTCGAGGTAGTTAAAAGAGCTTACGTTTGCGGATGAGAGAAGCCTAAATGCAATCTCGTTAGCGAACTTTGTATTCTATTAGTGACCAACAACAAGCAATGTGGGTACTTATGGGTAGCCTGGTGCCAGTGAAGGGCTGTAATTGAGCGTCCTCTAACAGCTTTCTTCTGACGACGATGAAAGCGCTCCGTAATTAATCGTTATTCGGCCAGGTTCACCTCTTTTCGCCATGACGTCTCACGTTAATCGTCCACGGTGCATTCTGACCGTTTCTATGCGTCGTTGATGCAAGATTCCACGATCAATATGTAGCTTCATTTCTGTCCGGCTTGTAAACGCGCCTTTGTCGTGGCTAAATAATGCTCGATTCCGACTCCATTCTCTGGTCGAATCTATTCTTACGTATCGGTGCTCTGAATGACAGAATATGCTAAAATACCGACACTTTATTGTTAGCCTGGAAAAATGTATTTGAGCTCGCGACAGATAAATTGGTCCATTGAAGGACGTTTTCCAGCTTACGTTCTCTCAGAATTTATTCCACCGGTTGGATTACATATCGAATGCGAAATTCGTCAACGATACGCGCGAATTAATCACAGAACGAGGTGAAATAACAAGCAACGAAATGGATTACGCTGCGAGAAATATGTATTTAAAAAATCTCCGACGACCTGAAAAAGCTACGAAAGAGGACACTCTTTTAAGCGCCACTAAATTTCATATTTCTTTTCCAACTTTAATCCTCCCGTGGGTGTCGTTTAAGATATAGAAGCCAGGCAACCAGCAAAAATACTTACCTTCGAGATTAAAGTTCTTACTCTTCAGACTGCGCCATTTTACCCAGTCGGAGTTCCGACTTGGAGAGTACTCGAGGAAAATCACCGATGGGTACTCTATAAAGATGCCTCGTGCTCGCGCGCCGTTCCATTTTCCATCGTGCTGCATCGCGCTTTTATACATAATTTATAACTACTTCTGCGCGTCGCATATCTCCATTCACGTTGCAAAAGTTTCCCGACCTTTCGAGCAACGGGACGACGAGATGTAATTTGTTGGGCTCCGGACGTCGCACCCCGTTGAGGACGGAATACCTCCGGCTCGCCGGAAGTGCACTTGTTCCAGAGTGCGAGGCCACGGCCGATGCCAGCGGAGCGCCGATATTTCGGAAGATGAAAGCTCCTCGTCGCTGCGTGGCTTTAAAGCTCCCGGGCAAGACTTGGCCTGCCCCAATATCGATCTGCACGTTGCTTTCGTTCCACCTGGACCACGCTTATTTCGTCACTATCTCCTGCGTTACATCGTCGACCCCGAGGCGTCGCAAGACAATGTCGTGGTCTATTGTTATTCCAGGGCTGCGGACCTTAAGCCAATTTCGCTCGGCTGTCGAGACGCTGAATATCCAATATCGGTCTATGAACACGAATTCGTATCGGTTGCAGCTTATTCGCGATACTTCTTCGATGCTCGTGTCGAATGATTTATAACTTTTCGGTAGATCGTTTGAGATTCAGTTAGAGAGGAATGGTACAGCACAGTTCTCGAGAAAAACTCGAAGCTTCGAATTTAGTATCACTTGTTCCCGTTAGATAGAGTTTTTGGGGAACTGTAAAGGAAACTTGGGCATTCCGAAGAATCGAGTTCTCATGCAATTTTCATCGTTTTTCAGATTGGTAGACGACAGATGCGTGGTATGTCCCGAGGCTGGAGATCTATCCAATCCGCCGAAGAAGTTCAGAGGTAAATGACAATTGCAATTAACGATTTGTAATTACCCATCTTGCAATTAACGCTCTCGCGATAAAACGTTAATCGTAATTTCATCGATCGTACGCGACAAGAGCACTCTGGTCTTTTGATCAACATTTGCTTTGATATCTCTTTCATCCAATTAACGTGTCATCGGTCTTTCGTGTAATTTCTAGATTGCCTCTTCAAAATATGTCCCATGAACCGGTACTCTGCGCAAAAGCAATTTTGGAAGGCAGCGAAACAAAGCGCAGGTGGTACCGATGCCGTGCTTTTAAAAAGGCTGCACGTAAGTTGATTTTTCTGAAACTTTTTACGCTGACCCAGTTGAAATTGGGACAACCTAACATATCAAATATTATTCGATAAATATTCATCGTTATTAACGTTGATCCGATTTTCTTTCAGCATGCCGCGGAAATAGAGAAGAAGCAGAACGAGACCGAGAACAAGAAATTGCTGGGCAGCGTGGTATCCTATGGTAACGTTGTCCAGGTGAGGAAGGAAGGAAGGAAGAGCCACCGTTTTGTTTTTCTAATATTTTTATATATTTTTACATTGTCCCCGTTATGCGAAGCAAATCAATTTACCTTGCGCTACACGCCTCAAAAGGTCAGCTTCGCTTTAGTACCCAAGGACACTCCCTTTTATGCAGAAACTCGATTTACCATTTCTGTAATAACGAAAACATGAAATGTTACCCACCGAATGGAGCGACCTAATAATATCTTCGTTCCCTTCGACGCGAAATCAACCTGTTTTCCTTTTTATACCTTTTTATTTGCCTCGTTCTATTCCGCTTCTCCACGAATTATCGCGAAAGCGCCACAAGCCGATAACTATACTTGCCAATTAACAGAATCAACTTCCTGTTTTCGTATCTATGCCGCATGAGGCGATCGCGAAAGTGCTATCATCATCGAAGTGCTACGTGGTTCCTAAACACGAAATTTTATCCCCAGAACAAGACACTGACCTGTAATTGCGTACTGTTTTAAGTGTATGATCGAATTATTAATCACATTCGCGGTGCTTTTAGCGTCAACAACTAGGGGAACAGCGTTACGCAGCGAAGTGATGGTCGCTAAATGTATTATACATGGAGGCGAAATATCGTCTCCTGGCGAACGCGATAGTGTCTATGAACGCCATTAGACGTCTACTTAACGTGATGCAATAACGTACAACATCGGGTCTTTGTCGTGCTATCGAGCTACTTTATTACTTCTCATTATATACGGGAATTATGGTAGATGTATAACTTAATTATCCAGTAAGGGGTTACCCAATGCTGCTTGTTTCAGCACCTGTTTCTTCTTCATTTTCCCTTGTCCCTTTCCTCGCGAATCAATCGATAATCAAATTGTGCTTTTACTCTTGGATAGTTTTAATGTCACTTTGCTTCTATCGTGCGATCACTAAGCTTTTCGACGACAGCAAAGTACTCTCTGGCGTTTTATTGTTTTAACGCTTTAAGTTTCTATAGTTATGGAAAGAATAGTAACTGCATAGTAATTATGTAATTTTGAATAGCATTATACTCTCATTTTGTCGTCATTTCAAATTTATTAATTATGTGACGTTTTCTCTTGTAGCTATTACACCTGAAATCCAACAAATTTCTGACCGTGAACAAGAGACTTCCTGCACTCCTCGAGAAGAACGCGATGAGGGTATACTTGGACGCGAATGGGAACGAGGGTTCTTGGCTTTACATAATGCCGTTCTATAAACTTCGTAGCGACGGTGACAGCGTCGTGGTCGGTGATAAGGTGATTCTAGAACCGGTGAATGCCGGTAGACAAGGTCTGCACGTAGCCGCAAATTATGAGTTGAGTGATAACCCCGGCTGCAAGGAAGTAAATGTCGTGAATTCGGCTACATCCTGGAAAGTGACGCTATTTATGGAACATAGAGAGAACCAGGAGGAGATCCTAAAGGGTGGAGACGTTGTTCGACTGTTCCACGCTGAGCAAGAGAAGTTTCTCACGATGGACGAGTATAAGAAGAAGCAACACGTGTTTCTCAGGACCACTGGTAGGACTAGTGCCACTGCTGCTACGAGTAGTAAAGCTTTGTGGGAGGTTGAGGTAAGAAAATGGTTGTATTGATTAACGCTTTCTATGTGTCTGGTGAAATGACGTTGAAATTTGTAGTATTTGGTATTTTAATTTTTCGATACTTCGGGATTCTGGTTTGTAGAGTAACAGTTCTACTCTTATCGACTGTGGTGAGCTATTTGTAGCTTACGAGGCACGGAATATATCTGTTAATGGAGTTTAAACAATAATTTCTTTCTCTACAGGTGGTTCAACATGATCCTTGTAGAGGAGGAGCGGGCCACTGGAACTCTCTGTTCAGATTCAAACATTTGGCAACAGGACAATATTTAGCTGCTGAAATTGACGCCGATGAACCACGTGAGACCACAAAAGGCAAGCGTGGTAAGATAGATATTTATGTGTAAAATAGCATCAACGAGTGGCTTCAGGGACTGTATACGTAAAATTATTATATTTCCGTGCATGTTGGTAGAGAAGCCTTGCGTAGCCGTGTAATGAGTGGTCGATGATACGTGTGTTTTATATGCTGTAAATGTAAGATTGATATAGATTGTATGGTTTATAGATCCACCAGGACCAGTGTATAGATTAGTGTCAGTACCACACAGTAATGAAATAAGTTCCTTATTCGAATTGGATCCAACTACGTTAACGAGAGGCGACAGTTTGGTTCCGCAGTCATCCTTCGTCAGGTTACATCATATATGTACAAATACTTGGGTTCATTCGACCAGCGTACCAATCGACAAGGATGACGAAAAACCTGTTATGTCAAAGGTACCTTTCAGTGAAAGCCACGTATATATCTTGTAATTTGTTCTATTTGCTATTTTTTTTATATATATTATATTATTTTAATCGTATTGTAAGGTGGGCTGTGCTATTAATAAAGAAGATAAAGAGGCATTTGCTCTAAGATCGGTATCGCCAGTTGAGGTGCGAGATCTCGATTTTGCGAATGACGCTTGCAAAGTATTAGCGTCGATTAGTAGTAAACTGGAAAAGGGTACGATCTCGCATAATGAGAGACGGGCCGTAACCAGTTTATTGCAGGATATAGTATATTTTATAGCTGGCTTAGAGAACGAACAAAATAAATCCGAAGCTTTAGATTTAATCGTAACTAATGCTGTCAGAGACCGACAAAAGTTATTACGAGAACAATACATACTTGGTCAATTATTTAAGATACTTCAGGTATTATAAAATTCTTAAATATTCCATTGAACTGAATTTTTAGTTGTTAACGCTTCTATTATTTGTACTTTTATTTGTAGGCTCCGTTCTTAGAGTCTGCAGAAGGTGAGGGACCATTTCTTAGAATAGAAGAATTGAACGATCCACGACATGCGCCGTATAAATATATGTTTCGTTTATGTTATCGAATACTCAGACTATCTCAACAAGACTATCGGAAAAACCAGGTATCGTATATTTAGATGCGGTTTAATTTTAATAATATCGATTAAGGTTATACTGATTTATTTTATAACATAGGAACATATTGCGAAACATTTTGCTTTTATGCAAAAACAAATTGGATATGATATTCTGGCGGAGGACACTATTACCGCATTATTACACAATAATAGAAAATTATTAGAAAAGCATATTACGGCAGCAGAGATTGAAACTTTTGTAGGACTTGTGAGAAAAAATATGCACAATTGGGAATCTAGATTCTTGGATTACTTGTCAGACTTGTGTATTTCTAATAGAAAAGCGATTGCCGTAACACAAGAATTAATATGCAAAAGCGTATTAAGTGAAAAAAACAAAGATATATTAATAGAAACTAGGTAAGTTTGGCACACTTCGTTAATAGTAATGATTTTTATCTATACGGGTTAATACATAATGATTCTTTTCAGAATGACGAAAACTCAGGTTGAGGTCGAAGAGTTGGATGAGAAACAAGAGAATGAGGAACCGCGAATCACTGTAATGGAAGAGTACGAAATTTTTCTCGTATGGAATAATGGAGCAGTAAGTATTATTATAAATGTATTCATATATATGTATAAAGCTCAGTTGTATTTTCTAAAATACTTAATGACGTACACAGAAATCAATGTCCTTAAATGAATTATCGAGGGGAGCTAAGATAGGTAATGTTCAAGACGCGGCAATATTGGACTATTATAGGCATCAATTAAATCTTTTTAGCAATATGTGTCTAAATAGACAATATTTAGCGCTGAATAACTTATCGCCACACTTGGACATTGGTCTTATACTTAAGTAAGTAAAATTAATATTCTAATAATTATGCATCTTTTTATAGTAAATACAATTTTTTTAATAAAAAATTAGGTGTATGGAGGATGAAACAGTACCATATGAACTGCGCGCATCATTTTGTCGACTTATGTTGCACCTTCACGTTGATAGAGATCCACAAGAACAAGTTACACCAGTTAAATATGCTCGACTTTGGTCTGAGATTCCTTCAAAAATGAGCATTAATGAGTATGCAACAAAAATGTAAAATTATATGATATATAAAGTAAGTTTTGGAACATTTATGGAATTTACTGTCTGTTTTTAGTTATGATGCAAACAGGATGCGGGATCAAAATAAGGAAGCTGTGCGTGCTAAGTTTAGCGCAACTATAATGTTTGTTGAAGATTATTTGTGTAATGTGGTAGCAAAAATGTGGTCTTTTGCAGATCAAGAGCAGAATAAACTTACATTTGAGGTAAGATAGTACATTTTACTCATATTTTAATCACGAAAACAAATCACCAATATCTAATGTTGTTTTAATATTTTTGTATAGGTTGTCAAATTGGCACGTGATTTAATTTATTTCGGATTCTATAGTTTTAGTGATCTTTTAAGATTAACAAAAACGTTACTGAGTATTTTGGATTGTATATCAGAAAATGATTTAGCTGATGGAAAAATTCCGACTGGCGAAATTGATTGTAAGTAGATCGTAAAATTGTTTCTTATTCACTTGATGCACAACTAACACATTGCTTGGACGTGATATTCCTTGTACAACATTATTACTTCCTGATAATTGTATCCTTTCTGTACATCATAGAATGCCGTTCTATTTGGTCCTCCTACACCATGTAAATATTCAATACAAACTAAATAAATTATATTCTAATTCCTTTAACATCCTCGTATATAAGTTAATAATATAATTTCTTTAATAGTATATATAATGAAACATATTGAACATGTACATATCTTAATATATGTTTAATTATAACTAACTAATCAGTCTTGAAAACTTCTAAAGCTGATTCTGTGGATTCTAAGGATCTAGGTAATATATAACTGTGAATTAATGGCGATTTAAGTTGATTTGTAGAATTCAATTTTCGTCTTACTAAATTTGCAATTTAAGCATGTCACTTCGTTGTGTTTGCACTTCTGTTTTACCCAGTGTATTCTTTTAATATTTCCTATTTCGTATTTTGTCAGTTTCAGTATTTGTAAATGTAAATATTTGATTGAAAGTAATTATGTCAAATAACTTGACTATCCTCATCATTTATTTTCTAAAACTTAGTTTAAAGTCATTTTCTCTGAAAAATTATACAAAATAAATTTTGAAATGAAATATATCTACCTGATAAATTAAGAACATGCCTAAAATTGTTTTTAATATTTAACAGCGGAAGGTGGAGTATTGAGATGCATCGGAGACATGGGTGCAGTAATGACGAGTTTAACATTGGGTCCAGCTGGACAAGTATTAGCTGGAAGTTCTTCTCCAAGACCAAAACCACTTTTAAAAAAAGAATATCCTCTAGTGATGGACACTAAGCTAAAAATAATCGAAATTTTACAATTTATACTCGATGTTCGACTGGACTACAGAATTTCTTGTTTATTGAGCATCTTCAAGCAAGAGTTTGACGAAACTGAAAGAGCTTCTGGAGATTTAAGCCTCGGCCAGAAAACCATCGATTTAGAGTTAATAGGTACACAGGCAGAGGGTATATTTGGTAGCAGGTAATGTGCCATTTCTTTTTTGTAATTGTTTCATTAAATAAATATTTCACGAATTGTTTCATTTAGTGAGGAGTGTGTGGCATTGGACTTAGATGGACAGGGTGGTAGAACATTTCTACGTGTTTTACTGCATTTAGCAATGCATGATTATCCCCCACTAGTTTCTGGAGCATTACACTTACTTTTTAGACATTTTAGTCAAAGACAAGAAGTTTTACAAGCATTTAAACAAGTATGCTATATTAAGTGCAATATTATTGTAGAATTACAAATTAAAAGAAAACAAAGAAAGATTTATTAAATTATCGTAAATAGGTGCAACTTTTGGTTTCCGATAGTGACGTTGAATCTTATAAACAAATAAAATCCGACTTGGATGTTTTACGACAATCAGTTGAAAAATCGGAACTTTGGGTTTACAAATCCAAAGCATCGGAAGAACATGGTGGAAAAAAGAAGAAAAGTAAAGAAGATGAAGATGACGGAGCTACTCCTCGTAAAGCACCGCCTCAATTGTCTACAACGGATAAGAAAGGTTTTGATATAATAATATTAAATTTAAATTTATTATCAAAAAGTAGGGAAAAAGCAATATCTTTCTAAAACAGAAATTATTTATAACTATAGGATCTGCAATAGATTTAGATATTGGACCGCCATTACACGCAGATCAGGCGGAAGAGTATAAAAAAATACAACAAATTCTAATTCGAATGAACAAGTTATGTATTCAAACGATAGGTGGTCAAATAAAACCACGAAAACATGAACAAAGACTTCTACGTAACGTTGGAGTGCACACTGTCGTATTAGATTTATTACAAGTTCCATTTGATGCGAAAGAAGATGTTAGAATGAACGAGTTGATGCGATTAGCGCACGATTTTCTGCAAAACTTCTGCTTAGGAAATCAACAAAATCAAGTTCTGTTGCATAAGCAGTTGGACTTGTTTTTGAATCCTGGTATACGTGAAGCTCAAACAGTATGTAGCATTTTTCAAGACAATTCAACTTTGTGCAATGAAGTAAGTGCTAAGGTGATACAGCATTTTGTGCATTGCATAGAAACACATGGAAAACATGTGCAATATTTAAAATTCCTTCAAACAATAGTAAAAGCCGAAAATCAATTTATTAGAAAATGCCAGGAAATGGTGATGCAAGAAGTAAGTGAAACTTCTGTGAATAAATAAATGTACTTTATTTTTTAAAATATATATATTAATTATTTTTTATAGTTGGTTCAAGCTGGTGAAGACGTTTTGGTTTTCTATAATGATCGAGCGTCTTTCAATCACTTTGTGGAAATGATGCGATCCGAACGACATCGGATGGATGAAAGTAGTCCGCTCAAGTATGAATTTAAGAGATACAATAATGGCGTAAATTATGTTGTATATTTTATACTAATATATATTCTAGGTACCACGTAGAATTAGTTAAATTATTAGCTTGTTGTACAATGGGTAAAAATGTTAATACTGAAATTAAATGCCACAGTCTTTTACCACTAGATGATATTGTTGCTATGGTATCACATCCAGATTGTATACCAGAAGTAAGCTTTTTTGTGATTATCTTTAAGAAATGTATTTCTGAACTTAATTATAGGTAATTATTTAAATATTTTTGCATAGGTAAAAGAAGCATATATTAATTTTCTCAACCACTGTTATATTGACACAGAAGTAGAAATGAAAGAAATTTACACATCAAATCATATGTGGTCATTATTTGAAAAGTCTTTCATAGTAGACATGGGAATTATAGCAACAGCTACGCACGACCGTGAACACGCTGATATAGCTTTGGAAAATTATGTGACAGGTTGCCTAATGAATATCATTACAACGTTCTTTAGCAGTCCATTTTCAGATCAAAGTACCACAGTGCAGGTATTGTATTCTTCTATTTCAATATTTTAAATGAATTTTATGGTTTTCGTTTCCTCGATACTATATCTATAAATACAATTTTAACAAATTTATGATATAATTAGTCTAAATGTTAAATTTAAAAGAATTATTTACCTTTATTATTTATAAAACTTATCACACAAATTTTCAAACTAATATTAATATTTATTTGGTGGATATAGCACTCTAATCTATTGAGCACATTAACTTAACATAAGTGATTAATAACAGAATAAAGATTATTTTTTATTACATGTGTTCATGTCATTGTTAATTAGAGCACAAATTTTTTTCATACAATGTTATTTTTTTAAATTTTTTACATAAAAAACATTTATCTGTGATTATATTTATTTGCATTAAATTTCAGATTGTACAGTCAGTATTTTGATTCTTTTTATTATTTGCACAATGAGATATTATATACATATCAAATTGATAAAAATTGATTATTTTTTTAGTATTGTTATTGTTGTTAGATATAAGTATGGTTTGACTAACTTACGATATACTTAGGTACCTAAAAATTAAATATTTATTATGTTTCATTACTTAACTGAAGTGCGCCATGATGGAGGTAATTTTTCGAAAACAATATGGAATTAAGTTAGAATTAATGTAAAAACTTGAATTTGAAAGTTGTATGATTTGTACTACAGTAGGTCATAAGCATAGTGGTATCAAGTAAAAGTACATAAAATAGAAAAATTAAATTTTTAAATACATATAGCATAAAAAAATAGTGCAGGCATAACTGAGAATATACAAGCATATAATATATAAATAATATAGTTAACATAAAGTAATTATGTGCAAAAACCTGTTCAATTACTCTGTCATTTAATTTATCAGATAATTTCTTGCTTTGCATGACAAACACATTAATTTAGGTTTATTTAGAAGCCAAGTACATATCACAAACTTATGGAGGCATTAATATTTATTTAAAGAATAAACTTTTTGTTTTATTTATTGCTTCCTGGTATATATATATTTTTATAATTTTCTTATATTTGTTTACCTACCCTGGTACACCAGAGTAATACTATAAATTAATAATTACATTGGTAATATATTTTTTGATGTGTGCTTGGTAACTGGTGATTGCATCAGCGGCATGTTCTGTGTTTTTGGCATGCTACACCTGGCCTTCTTTGACTCATCAACATTGGTTTACTGGGTCTGGGTGCTGGGTCTATATGGTGGTGGGTTGATTTACTAATAGAAACATCTCCACGAGGCTAGACTTTATTGGAGCATCAAGGAAAGTGACCGGATTACTGATACTAATCTTACTGGCTATGTGAGTACCAAAATTAAAAAATGCTCAATCTGTTATGAGCAATTGTATATACACTTGTATTACTAATATGGTACAGTGTGATTTGATAATTAAATTTGAAAAATAAAAAGAATAACTTTTTACTGTATATATACACATATAGTATATACAGTACTTTTAACTAAAACAGTTTCATATGAATACTTTCATTGTAAATATTTGTTTTTCTGTGTAACTAAATAACAGCACGGATTGAAGGGAATTAAATAAATATAAATACAGACGTGCTTTATTGGTGTCAGCAATTTTTAGTTTCTAAATTTAAATGTTGTAAATAGAAACTTTAATATGTGTTTCTGAATAATTATACTAACACATTCACTGTCTTCAATGATTGAAGCAAGCTTGCCATATAAGTTCTTCTAAATACTAACCACAAGTCTTTTATTGTATTTGGAATATTCTTCTGTATCTATCCTTTTGCATTTCATGCAGCATGAATCTGTGGTTTAACATATATAAAACTATTTCTTTTTTGGAGCTTGGCAATGAGTGTGTTATATTACATCAATTAAAATAATAAGACTTCAGTACTTCATGAATATATAATTAATGCATCTGCTCTAAAAATTTGGGTTTTCAATAAAGGATGATTTATATTTTTAGATTTTATTAAAAATATTTAAGGATTAACAAAAATTATAGCAACTAATATGTATTTTTTTATGCATAAAAGTATATATTAAATGTAACATTACATAACACTAAAAAGCATTAAACTTTTTTATTTATAACAGACACGACAACCTATTTTCGTTCAATTACTTCATGCGGCTTTTAAAGTTTCACAATGCTCATGGCTAAATGCTGGTCAAAGGTTTAATGTTGAAAATTGTATACGAACATTGTCGGACGTAGGTAAGCTTGTTTGAATTGCGATTTATATAAAATTTACAAAATTTTTTTGTACCCATTTTATGAAAAGAATGCTATTTGTTTGAACTGTTAGCTAAAGGGAGAGGTATAGCCATCCCTACAGATTTGGAAAGTCAAGTTGCTTCTATGTTCAATAAGGCTGCGATGCTTAGTAGACAAACAAGCAAATGGCTTCAAGCTGCAAAACAACCAAAGATAGAACGCACACAAAGTCAGGTAATTTTTATCCAAAAACTTATTTAATAATTACTTGGGATTCTAATAATTTTTTTAACAAATCTTGAATCATTGTTGTCAATTTATAATTGATATGATCTTTGAATATGTAGAGTGACTTATTTTGTGAGGAAGATAGTAAAGATCAGGTAAAAGTCACTCATAAAAGCCTTACTAGACTGTTAGCGTGATAAAATTTTAGTGCTTTAGTGTAGTTTAATATTAGCTAATATTAGTATACGAGTAGCGTAAAAATTACGCATAAAGAGTATATTGTATTTAACAAACTGTATCATAGAAGAAATATTTATATGTATGTGTAATTATTATGATATAATATATTTTCATTTAGCTAATGCGTTTGGATCGAAGTATTATAGAAGGTTTACAAGACATAGTATCGTTATTGGAAGAGCAATTGAAACCACTAGTACAATCAGAATTATCTTTGTTAGTGGATATACTCTATCGACCAGAATTACTGTTTCCAGCAGCAACTGACGCTAGAAAACGATGCGAAAATGGTGGCTTTATAAAAAGGTGAGTAACTTTTTACAGTTATTATTGCTTTAATATATTTTAGTATGTACAGTCAGTAACAGTTAATAACAACTTCTTTTTGTTTAGATTGATTAAACATACTGAAAAATTACTGGAGGAAACGGAGGAAAAACTGTGTGTAAAGGTGTTGAGGACTCTCAGGGAAATGATGGCTATTGACCCTGAATATGGAGAAAAGGTGAGTTTTGCAATATTGTACTTTGCATGCAGTTACAAGAATCATTTCTACAATATGGGAAAGTCACAGACATTATGGAAAAGGGCATTCAGTTGTTTCTGACAAAATGTTATTACATTAATTAGCGGTGACAAATCCTTCAGGCATGCTTTACGTACGCTAGTTAGCTTGGTATTCCAATGATGGACATTTTGGAATGTAATAGCAATCAATGTTATTGTCCTTAGTGTATCAATATATGTAACAATTTCAGCATCTTTTTTTATTGGAGCTTATAACATCCGTAATAAATTAAATGCATGCGCAAATTGGTAGGTAATTCTTTGGCGCGCAATACGGCAGTAAAAATTATGAGTCAAAAGTATAAGTATAGTTATCGGTGAAAATAATTCATTTGTACTGCTTCTTTTACTAAAATAATATTAACGCTCAATTGATCGTATTGAAAAGTAAAAGATGGAAAAATGTTATTCGGAGCATGCCATCTTTAATTGGGATTTGCTACCGTTAATTAGCACCGCACCTCGACCGATTAAACATGTTACCGTTCTAAGTTCTAGTTGAACCTAAATTTACAAAAATTTGTGTCTTCATATCCACTTGTTCTTTACATGTTTGCCGAAAAGCTAAATGCCCATATGTTCACGGCACATATTAGATAATCAGCATATACACGATCGAGAATTTTTTAGTTGGCAATATAAAAAAAAAGAATATGCGAATGAAATAATAAGCTTCATGAATACACTACAAAGATTTAAATAACAGTGTGGGTGAGTAGGTTTCGTAGAATAGATATGTAGGTAAAGATGTTTTCATGCTGCAAACGAAGAGCGAAGGTGTCTTGGAAGAAGAAGAAACAGAGCAGACGGCCGAGTCTCAAGTTGGAACAGACTCTGTTGATGAGTCTAAGATTCGTCATATGACTCAGCAAGAGCGGGTAAAAATTAAAGTAGATAACAACGGTAATTTGTGGGCACAACGTATATAAATTGGCAACATGAATTTGATTTATATTAATGAGAATTTATCTCACCATCACTCTATCGTTATATATTGATACAAGTCTTAATATTGAATGAATATCTTCTTTCTGTTAATTATTATTATTATATATATGTGTGTATGTACATATACATATATACGCAGAGGGCATCCTATTGATAAATAAGAAATCTAATCTGTTAATATACTCTAATATTAAAATCATAATAACTATCTGTTTTTATATTTTATAATTTTATAAAATATACATATATAGACACATGTTTTTTAGTAACTGCTATGCAACAAGCTACATGATTTACTTAATAAAATTTGCTTAAGTACAAATATAATGTACGTTGTGTAGGTACTTTATATGCATGTGCTTGATTAGTTTTATAATATACATTTTAGTTCATTCTTTGCTTTATCATCTTTTCGTATTAATTTCTTTTTTATATACAGGATATAAGTAGGTATGTAATAGGTATGTAATCTCGTGTATCAAAATAATTATGATTTACGATAGGAGATTCTACATTATAACGATGTCGATTTACTTGAACATAAATAATTGGATTGATAAGTAAATGAATGTTTAAGTAAGTTGAATAATTTCAACTTATCGTGAATCAAAATTTATATAAAATTCTTAAAGTATTATTTCACGTAGTGTAAGATATCTTTCCAAGTACATTCCAGTATGGGCATAGAGTTTAGGAATAGAAACGATAAGAAAGTATAATGTATGTACATACACTTATTACAAATTGAGTGTACCAATACGTCTTCTAGATTTTTTATTATCTTTTATATAAAGTATACACATTTTGGGTAGCATGAGAGCAGCAATGTAGAACTTAGAAATTAGATTGTATTTTAAATATAGAGTTGTCGAGTAATTAATAATTATGCTACAATCACAAAAATCTATACATGTAGTATATCTACATACTCTGTATGTAAAACATTTTGTTCTTTTTGCTATTCCCTTATATTTAATACATAAATACGTCTTTGAATGTATCATTTGTATACTTTATGTGTGATATCTATTTGATTCTTTGCATTTACTCTCAAAATTTTCGATCTATATCACGTAAATTTTTAGTGTTGGGCATTTTTTAAGATACAATTTTAAGATACAAATATTTCTTTCTTCCTTTTTCTTTACACATATGAAGATTATATGTAAAATTAACTAGGGTATCAAGTAAGATACCGAGATCTGTAGAATTGTCTTTCTCGTTCTGAAGCACAAGTAATGTATATACACATCGATTTAATTATTTTTATTACTAATACAATATAATTATTAATATTTTCATGATATATGATAAATAATGCACCGGTATTCCCTTTTAAAATATATTAAACTTCTTTCAATTATTATGCACGATGTATTGGTACATCTCGAGTAATTCAAATTTATTTTATTATACTAATGTATTTTTTATTTCCTTTTTCCTAGGGAGATGCACTGAGAAACAATCTTCTAGCACGCTACTTTGGAAAGTCTTTTATACAAAAACCGGAAAACGTGGAAATTGGAGTATCACATACTGCTCCAGTTACTCATGGACCAGGAGGTATAGCTTTTTTTTTTCTAAATAATTTCTTTCTCAATAATAACACTGTTCAACAAATTTTGTGGGAGAACACATTATATCAGTGTCTTATAAAAGGGAATTCGGATCGGTATACTAAATTTCAAAAGATTCTAATGACTTTAAGTTCCCATATAAATTGGAGTTCAATGGATATTACAGATTAAAATTCGTGTTGAACTATTGTAATCAGCTTTACTAAACATTTTATCTTTTTCTAGCTAAGTTATTGAGTCGGGCAGGCCGTACATTGCATGAAATTCAAAGTCATCTCGACCGCGAAGGTGCCTCTGATTTGGTAGTGGAACTAGTAATTAAAAGTGTGCACTCACCGAGTATATTTGTGGAAGCCATAGAACTTGGTATTGCGTTATTAGAAGGAGGAAATCCTATTATACAGAAAAGTGTTTTCAATAAATTAATGGGCGGTGACTTGAGTCAATCTTTCTTCAAGGTATGTTATTCAATATTGATTTCTTTCGTTGTAAAAGTTGTAGATGTTACATGGATAAAGAAGTTAAAATAAAGAATATAATTTGTAGGTGTTTTATGACAAGATGAAAGATGCACAGCAAGAAATTAAATCTACCGTTACAGTGAATACTTCTGACATAGCAGCCAAAGCTCACGAAGACAAGGAGCAAAGCAAAGAAATAGAAAAGATATCAAGGAAGCGTGCGTCAGGTATAATAGAATTATATTTCAATTATTTCTATTTAAATTTGCTTATATTGTATCTCTCTGATATAGGAAAACCTAACGGAATAGTAATAACAGATGAGTTGCGAGAGGAATTGAATCAAGCTGCTTCATCCACTGTACAAGCGTACGCGAATGTTCGTAATCTTGCGTCCGGTGAAGATGCAACGAATAATGCAGCTTTTGGTAGTGCATTAGAAGACATGATAGCTGAGAAATTAGAAAGGCATCGTACTGGAACAACTGGTACTGAAAGGGATGAAGGACAATTGAGTGCGAAAGTTTTAGTAATGCAACCAATTTTACGTTTTTTGCAATTATTGTGTGAAAATCACAATCGTGATTTACAGGTATTTTTCTCGATCTTAATTCCGACTTTAAGACTGTTTTTCGTGTTATGCTACTTACGACATTAAAAATATTTTTATGCCTTTATAGAATTTCTTACGTAATCAAAATAACAAGACGAACTTCAATTTGGTATCCGAGACGCTTATGTTTTTGGACTGCATCTGTGGTTCAACGACTGGTGGATTAGGGTTATTAGGACTGTATATAAATGAGCATAATGTTGCATTAATCAATCAGACTTTGGAAACATTGACAGAGTATTGTCAGGGACCATGTCACGATAATCAGAATTGTATCGCGACTCACGAGTCTAATGGATTAGATATAATAACTGCCTTGATTTTAAATGATATTAATCCTTTGGGAAAAACCAGAATAGACTTAGTGTTGGAATTAAAAAATAATGCTAGCAAATTATTGCTTGCTATAATGGAGAGTAGAGGAGATAGTGAAAACGCAGAAAGAATTATGTATAATATGAATCCGAAACAGTTAGTTGATGTTGCATGTCGTGCATTCCATCAAGAATCTCTGGATGATGATGGTGACGTGGATGACTCTTCTACAGATGGTGAAGAAGGAGTGTCACCCAAAGAAGTAAGGACTAAATTTATTCCGAAAAAAATATAATCCGATTATTGATAATTAATCGTTCTTTTAGGTGGGACATAATATTTATATTTTATGTCATCAATTAGCACAGCATAATAAAGAATTATCATCGATGTTGAAACCGTCTGAACAGAATAATGCAGATCCAAAAATTAATAAGGCATTGCAATATTATGCCACACATACAGCTCAAATTGAAGTATATTTGTGTTTATATTTGTGTAAGAATTTTCTATTTATATATTTCATTTAAGTTTCTTATTTACTTCAGATTGTTAGACATGATAGAACATTGGAACAAATTGTGTTCCCAATTCCTGAAATTTGTGAACTTATTACTTTGGACACGAAAATTAAAGTATTAAACACTACAGAACGTGACGACCAGGGCTCAAAGGTTTCCGACTTCTTCGAAAGAACTGAAGACATGTTTAATGAAATGAAATGGCAAAAGAAACTTAGAGGTATAATGGTGAAAATTACTGTTGTTATTTTCATTTATCAACATTATTAAATATATTTTTGTCATTCTTTTTTAGGGCAACCAGTCCTATTTTGGATGAGCAGTTATATGTCACTTTGGAGTAATATTTTATTCAATTGTGCAGTACTCATAAATCTCATCGTAGCTTTCTTTTATCCATTTGTAGATTCTGTGCCTAGTAAGTTTATACTACTTTTAATTGATCAATTTTAACAAATAGAAATACTTAAACATTTTCTTATTTTCTTACTTTAGAATTAAGTTCAAATTTATCTGTTATTATCTGGGTGATAATGCTTTCATCAGCTATTTTTGTCATTACATTACCACGAGAATCTGGTATACGAACGTTAGTAGCTTCAACGATGTTACGATTGATCTTTTCTATAGGACCAGAACCAACGTTATGGTTACTTGGTTTTCTTACTGTAAGTTGAGAAAGCACGTCTGAAAAAAGACGCATTATTTCATTATAAGTTTCTGTAATAAATATATTTTTCAGATTGTATTAAAAGTTATACATCTTATAAGTATTATAGGTAATCAAGGCACTTTAACAAAGAGCCTAAAGCAAATAGTGACGAATGTTGAACTTTTGTATCATATGTCATATCTTATATTTTGCGTTCTTGGAATTTTTATGCATCCATTTTTCTACTCAGTTTTAGTAAGTATTGGAATATTAGAATAAATGAATTGTGAAAGTAAAACAAAATATTAAGTTCTTCACTTTTCAGCTCTTCGATGTAGTATATCGCGAAGAAACGTTGCTCAATGTAATAAGATCTGTTACAAGAAACGGACGGTCCATTATACTTACTGCTGTATTGGCATTAATTCTAGTTTATATGTTTTCTATTATCGGTTTTATGTTTTTCAAAGACGATTTTCTAGTAACAGTTGATGAGGATATTGTATGTAAGTACAAATTATATTATGTTTTATAATTATGTCTTAAATCGTATACTGATCTTATATTTATATTAATTGTAGCATCGTATACGGATGGAGATGCAGGTACTTGTAACATTGCCGATAACGACAGATGCGAAGCAACTAAAACAGTATCTCGGTATACTCGCGAAGGTATTTTTCTTTTTCTATAAAATGTTGCCAATATTTATTATTTGTAATTACAATAACATTTTTATAATTATGTAGTCAATGAAAAAGACAGTCCAACAGATGTAATTAACGTTGGCGGAGAGTTGAAGGAACGAGCATGCGATTCTTTAGTCATGTGTATTGTCACAACTTTGAATCAAGGTTTAAGAAATGGTGGAGGTATTGGAGATATTTTACGAGCACCCTCTAGTACTGTAAGTATAAAATCAAAGCTATGAGGAAACGCTAATGTTAATATTGACGTTAATTACATTGCAGGAGCCGTTGTTTGTTGCTCGAGTCGTATACGATTTACTGTTCTACTTCATCGTGATAATTATTGTTCTGAATCTCATTTTTGGTGTTATCATCGATACATTTGCTGATCTCAGATCAGAAAAACAACAAAAGGAATTAATTTTGAAGAACACTTGTTTCATTTGTGGTAAGTGTATTTATTACTTATGTTGACATCATGTTTGCACTGTTATTGTATATAACGTTACGTTGTTGCATTTACAGGACTGAATAGATCTTCTTTTGATAATAAGACGGTGTCTTTTGAAGAACATGTTAAGCATGAGCATAATATGTGGCATTACCTGTATTTCATTGTTCTAGTAAAAGTAAAAGATCCTACAGAATTTACAGGACCTGAGTCCTATGTATATGCCATGGTGAAGGTAATAGTCCACAGAACTTCAAAAAATTGAATCGTGCTTAAACTTTTAAGCTCTGTGTACTTTTTACAGGATCGAAATCTTGACTGGTTCCCGAGATTAAGGGCCAAATCACTGGCAGCCGACGAAGGAGAAGGAGAACAAGTAGAATTAAGGAGCTTACAATCTCAATTAGAGTCCACGCAACAGTTAGTGAAGTGTTTATCTCAACAACTTACCGAGCTTCGCGATCAGGTAAGTTGTGTTTGTGAATTTTTATTACATTTTAATTTTCATTATTCTTGTGGACAACTTTCTTGCTCTTCTTTTCTTAATTAGATGACGGAGCAACGAAAGCAGAAACAGCGGTTAGGCCTTCTGAATTCTGCATCCGCATTTTTACACAATGTACCAACGTAAATGTAAGGTACGTGTACTTCAGGATTTTGTTTTTAATTATATAAGAATCTCAATTTGATACTCTAACATGATATTTAATGCATAAGTTTGTGTGTTCTTAAGAAGCATTTAAAGACACAAAGAAGTACTACGAGAGTAACACGAAGCATTTGTACGGTTTTGTTCCTAATTTTAAAGAAAGTCATTTACATAGAATAGTAAAACACAAACTTATTAAGAATAACGTTAATTTTGTTATTTTTAAATGGAAGAAAAATATATCACGCGATGAGTTGCATTAATTAAATAGGTTTAATGTGTTGCAGGCACTACATTAAATGTCCATATTTTTAAAATACAAAATCAATTTCATTTCGTGCAAATAATTTCTGTAGGGTCCGTGTTACTTAAAACTAAACAATCGTGAAAAACTTTATCTTAAATAGAATGATAACAATAATGATTTTTATCATTAGATAAATAAGTAGCCAAAGGAGTGTATCGAAGTATGTTGCTATAAATAGAACATATCTAAAATTCTCATTGAGATTTTAATATTTTTATGACTTGTTTAAAACAAGTCCTTAAGAATGTTGATGTTTTATGTCCATGAAATGGACATGTAAAATAAATATTTGATTAATTTTATATGTTAGTAAAATTGTTTCTTGGTTGTATTTATACATATTTAGGTTTGTAAGATAGAGGTACTTTGTAATGAATGTACTTTTATTCAGTTACTTTTATTTCTAAATATGCAGAGTAATTCTGAAAACTAGATTGAAAAACATTTATAAGTTCTCTAGTTCTTGCATCGTTATTCAGAAATACGCACAGATTTATAAGCAGCGTGCGTAGAAATATTTTAATGAAACAGATATTGTTTTTAAATATCAAAATGAGCATACTGTAGGGGTTATTAAAGATGTACTGTTTTAAAATCATTTGAGTAGCAAATTTTGTTATAAATTCTTAAATAACTAGATGTTATCTGGTTATCCTGCGTATTCCTAAAGCAATAGAGAACAAGATATAGGACGATCAATGCGTAAAGCAAAATTTAAATGTTTATCTATTTTTTTGGCGCCGGTAAATAATTAAATAATTATGTATAGCGACAGAAAATATAGATACACGATTACGATAATCGTTTCGAATGATCATTGTGTGACAGACTTTCTTATAATTGCTCGTAAATATTTATAGGGGATCAATGTCAATAATATCGTTGTTTAGCTCTGAATGCATACATGTAAATTAAGATAATTGTTGTATCTAAAGTATGTTAAATGGGAATCTATAGAAATTGTTATATTATGCACCGTAAACACTCACAAACATCGTGTGCAATATAGAGTTACGTTTTCGATCCGTTAAAGTTTATTTTCAACTAACAAGTTTACTTGGACCACATCCAACGTCCCTGTCTATAAACATTTATACATATATGTATATGAATATATTGTATGTTGATACTTTTTTTTTTAATAGCGAAGTTAGATGTACTGTATATACGAATATATTTTATTAGATGTTAGCCACACTCCATAATTCGTACGTGTTTAAGAGTACAATTATCGCAACTTGAAACGCTGTTTCTTTTGTGCCAATTTTATGGAATATTAGCGAATTGTTATTTAAGATATTCACCTTGCATCAGAGAGAAAAGAATAAGTCGCAGTTATCTGTAATGTTTCATCTCTCAACCGTAGGATGTTTAAATATGTATGTAGATTGTATTAAAACTTGTATGTGAATAAATCGTCCTTTTTTTATCAAATTAACCCTATAATTTATGTCAATATGTATTTTGAGGTAACATGACATTTATTATTCGGGTGAAAAATCACAACCATGCATAGTTTCTGTTTTATTTTATTCGTACTTTATATGAAACAATTGACTATTTATTGTGACTTAAGTATACGCGACTAGTACATATATGTAACATGTATCTTTCGTTCGCAAGTTAGACGTGCCTTGTGCAAAACCGGTACATTCATTTAAGGAACAGATCGCATTACAATCGTTGTGAGGACGTGATCGAGTAATCTTAGAAAGGAACGGTACACTCGTAATTTCGTTTCTCTTGGTTTTCGTTCATCGACAATTTTCGTGTATTCTATAGAACGAATAACGAAATTTCTGTCGAGAAACGATTCACCGATTTCAAACACAAGTCACTTTAAATCACATGCCTTTGTCACTTGGCTGACATTAATTACATTTATTAAACGGTGTGCGTCTCTTTGTTCTTTTTTCCATAAAGTATGTCACCTCTTTTTAATACGGCGTTGATTAATTACAATGTGACTTTCATCTCTGTTTCGACGAGGTTGCAGAAAAGAGATCGAATATTTCTTTTACCCGAGCTTGTTCATTTACTATACAAACCTTAACATCTTTATGTTTCAACGCGTTTAGATTTCTATCCTTTGTATTAATTAATCGTTTCGATCATTACCAGCCTTCTCGTGATATACAAATTGCACTCTGATAAAAGTCAGTCTTTCTATTCGCTAATGTAAATTAATTCTAAATAATTTCAAAATTATTATCATTGACATCATTTTTAATGAACACATTCCTATTGTTTATCGAAAGAAGGTTAAACGATAAATCGTTTAATTACATTTATTTGAGCGCAATCAATAAAAATGCAAAATGTTACTAAGAGAGCGTTAAAATTAATTGATAACGTCGAAGGTTTGTAATGATTCGATGAATCTCGCATAACGCAAGATTCTTTTATATCTGTCACGATTTAATCAGAAGTTTTAACAGGCATTAAAGTCTCTGGTAACGTAACTGCATTGTTTCGCCATGAAATGATACAGTTCGTGCTATCTTAGGATATAAAAGAACACATAAAATAAATAACACAATTCATCGTACCATAATCATAAACCACAACAGACTGTTATTCGAAACCGACACGTGAAACGAAGAATATCGTTCATAATATTCTGTACAAATAATGGCAGCGATATGGCGGCCTAAAAAGCTTATGAAAATCGGTGGAAACTTTTCTACACCGTTGGATGGTTCTTTTAATTCAATTAGCCTGTTTGTCGTTAGTGTAATATCCCTTTTTTCATTTTAGACGATACGTATATTAAACATTCACGTTCTAATCCTTACTTCCGCATTATCCTAACAATCAATCACGTTTCTAGAAGTAGATCAAAACGATTTCTTCTTCAAGAAAATTCTTCGAAACATTTTCATTGAAAGAGAAGAGATTTCAATGAACTTCCGGAAGAACGCGTTAACAATTATTCGAAATGTGCCTCGGGCACTCGAAGCTCGTTCGTTAAAATACAATCTGTCTTCGTTTGCGGTTTCGCGCCACTTTTACGATAAATTGCCGCATATTTTACAATGTCGAGATCTTAACATAGTTCGTAATACTCTGTACAAATCCTACCTATGCTATCCACGTATGTACAAGAATCTATAATATATAGAATTTTTTCTTCTTACACGTTTACTTTGGCATTTGCGTGAGAATGATAACGCGTGGTTCTCGCTACTTCAAATCCGTGCATCGCGTTTTTCCTTTGTTTCTTTCCGTAATTTAACTTGCTATATTTATATTTATACGCGTTCACAGGATATGATGTTTAGAAAAAAACATTAAATACCACTGTGCATATAAAATATATAAAGAAATATTAATTCGGTGTATCAAAGAAGCAACTTCGGAAAAATTTAGTTTTTCAAGGAATCTTAATTACGTAGCTTTCATATTAAAGAAAGAAAGTATTAATGAATGGAACTATAGTAATAAGTACAGGTATATTTAAATGTTTCTTTGTAAACGTTTCATCCTGTATATAGATTTATGTATATGCATATGTATATATAATATGTACATGCTCTATTAGATTCTTATAGTTAAAACGTGTGGTATACACCGAATGATTCGTAGTATATATATATATATATTTCTCTCTTTTTTCTCTGATTCGCTTTTAATTTGTTTTACATATATGTATATATAATTCGACTAGAGCGTTGAATTCCAAAATTCGATTTCATGCCTTTCATTCTTTGCCAATTACGTTTCTGTAATTGTGTCAATTTATCGGATGAAACTTGAAACTTGTCAATAATCACCGATGTGTGATTGCACCGATACACGTTTATTACTCTACAATATTGACGATCGAAAAATACCTGAAAAATTCCGACTAAATCGTTTTGGAATTCTCGTGTCCTTCAATTAATACCCGATGCCCCTGTCTGCGTAGTACCGAATCGTGAATTAATCTTTATTACGTGTTTCATTATCCACTCTGTTCGAACGACGAATTCCATTTAGTGAAAAAATAGACGACAGACGTGTAATAAACTTTTATAAATTAATTCTTAAACGTCATCGTTCAAAGGGACTGGAAATGAATCTCATTTAACCATAATTATATTCAAAGGATATATTAAAATATGAAGTTCATACGATGAAAAGCGAGCTCATTTCATAGACAGGTAACCTCAATATTTCATAAAAATGTGCTTGATATTACCAATGTGTTCTTAAACTTTTAGGGAACTTCTTCACAATGCTACTAAACGTAATATTCCAGCAAGCTAACATAAAACTCTTAAAACTTCTACAGTGAGTTTCGCTTTTCGCGATCATTTGGCCTCTTAAGGATTTTATCCTTAAACTTTTCTATTCTCAAGAAAACCAGACCGCTTAAAGAACGTTCAGGAAACATGAGCATCGTGAGTGCGACACTTAACACGCACACGTACACGTGCAGCGTACGATAGTACAAATCTTAGGCTCGTTCGCAATAGTTTGTCTCTCATTGTGAACAGGAACGTGTATGGACACGGTGTGTCGAGTTGGAGTACTCAACAACCGGCCGCGTAAGCGAGGAGCATCGCGAATAGTATTAGGATTCGTGCTTCCCGTGGTCCATTTCCGGTTGAGGAGTCGAACACGTGATTCGGTGCTGGCGATGGTCCGCTCTTATGCGTATTTGCTATTACCGACAGGCTTCGCCATTTCATCGTGTATTCCGGTGCGGTTCTTCCCAGAGCCTGCAATCTGCAAACAGGTATAATAATAATATAATAAAACCTAACAAGCATCTTGATGTTTAACATTACATTTTCTTTAGTAAACTTGATATTCTTATTCTTAATTACTTGTGCATTTAAATTACCAACATCAAAAAGAACGAATATACATACATTACTTTCCTCGTGTATTGCAAAATCTATTCAAGAAACGTCGTATCGATATACAACAATGTCAAATGTAATTTCCACGTGACTTATTCGGTCTCGAACGATTGCTGATTGGGTACCGGATAAATCTTTCTGACCAATCGATTTTTAACTTGCCGCCGCATTCACGTAAAAAGCGATTTGCGCGCCACATAAATTTCCCTTATAATTCAAACCACGGTGTTATAATCTTCGTTCAGAAAGTGTCGCGTAACTGTCGTTAGTCGGCGTCGATGGACGAAGTTTCGGTTGAACTTCCGGCTAACCGGCTTGGCGAAGCATAGAAGGGCCAGACGAACTCACCTAACCACCACAGTGTTCGTCTTCCATGGAAGAGTAAAATTTTTGTGCGTATCTCTCGAGCAGAATGTGTGCAATCTTGGCCCGGCTGGATCTCCGTTCTTGCTATACTCGTGTATCGTAAGATTCCAGGCAGTGCAAGGTCCTGAAACGAGGAAGAGAGATAAAAGAAATTCCAATAGCACGAATTTTGTATCTCTCTTTAAATGAAAGAGGAATCAGGAATAATCATAGAATGTTATCTTCTGAAAAGATACGATGAAAGTTACATACATATATGATTAGTGTCATATACAAATTACGGTATTTCTGTCGCAATTTTCGTAGTGTAATATCAATGTTGGAAATTTCAATAGCTAAAGCTTATTGGAAGTAGTACTTTCGAGTACATATTTGGTTATAGTTCAGATCGAGATAGTTCGAAGTTACTTGTCACATATACACCATACGCGGGAAAACAGAATAATGAGGTTAGGTACGCCGACAACTAAGTTCGCAGATTGGACACCGAGGACGTTTGTTTTCCACATGAGTATGTTATGAGACGAGCAACGAAATGCATTCGTGTTCACGAACAACCAATTAAGAGAGATCGTTTCACAATTAATTGCCACGGATACAACATTTGACGCGTCGATGGAAAGGATCGAATCGACTATCGATGTTCGCACAATCATCGAGGGCGGCGTATAATTGGAGACGATTGGTTTGGTAACGTGGTCGAGACTATAATTTTCGCGCACTCTTGCACGTGTAATTCTTTTTGTTTTTCTTCCTTTTTTTACCGTCATCCGTCGACCAATGATATTTTTTTCTATCATAGAGCAAAACTGTTTCGTAACACCGTTGTAAACAAAAATGAACGAGTATCATGGAAACGTAAAAAATAATGCACATACGAGAATACGCGGTCAACCTTCGTTTTCTGTTTTATTTCATTTTTTTTCCCCTGTTTGCTGTTGTTTTACGAATGATAAATCTATCCGGAGAGAGAAACGGGAAAACGATTTTTCGTTTTCGGGTCGCACACGTAGTTCACAACCCTTTTCAATGATTCCCGCGAAATGTTTGAATATCAATGGTTCGAAAAAATTCCAACTCTTGACGCATGCAAATCGCGAATCGCATCCTTTTTTGTCTCGTTTTAGAGTTTACGTGAGGGATTTGTATTTTTTTTTTTTTTTCTATATTTTTTTCCAGTCGACAGATCAACACGAGCCTCGGAGTTTTCCTGGGATATCGAGTTACCGGGAACCTAATGCACGGCTCGGTACTGTTATATTTTACTAGCAGTGCATGCACCTCGTCGAAATTGATCGATCTTTCCTGATTGAAATTTTGTTTCAACATTCAAGGTAGGAAAGACATCCAATCTTCCACTGTAATTAAAGTGTAGTTTGTATTTCCGCACATTTTTCTTGTTTCTAATTATCTTTATCTTATTTTTTAGATTTTTTAATCCACGTTCATTCGACACATCACCCATGGCCCACCAATGCTAGAGGATATTAGGAAATGGCGCTTATCGACAATACGTTAACATCACCTTTAAAGCGTATAGACATACAAGTACACACGTACACCCAATGTTCGCGAAAAAGGATCATTACTTTGGTTGCCAATTCAGTCGTAATTTAAAAATATTGCTAGCATCATGGTTCGACTGGCTGGCATTCGGCCATAAAACGAGGTAAATTGCTTTCTAATCCGGCGTTTCCAGAATTGATCGGCTGACGAGTAAACAAGGGAAGGAGAAGGTGCTTCTGGATAGCAGCTCGGTGATGTCGCTTTTCGGCGAGTAAATCAAAGGAGCATCAGATATGACCAATCTCGTGAAACGACAAAATGGCGTCATCTTTGAAATCTGCCTTTGCTATTGATGCATACGAATTTCTTTTTAAGTACAAGATTAAGATTTCACAGGAAGACCGAGGAGGACGGAAAGAAACTGAGACTTAGTATCAGAAAGTACGTATTTGCTAAGCGATCCTACTAATAGTTTATGCGAGTTCTAAATTTTGGAACGGACGTTCAAACGCATCTCTATCTAACATTTAAGCACACGGATACACACGCTTAGAAACGAATACCCAGCTTGGCCTCTGTAAATTCATCGTTCTCGAAACGTGGACGATTGGTGGCGGCGAGGAAGTTTACGAGAAAGAAGGAACTGCATCGGTTGGTATGGAAGAGAAAACTGCGAAGATCGGAGCAGGAGTGTGCGAAAGCCATTTCTGGGACTAGCTCGTTGCAACAGCTTCGCCTCTTTGCCGCACTCTCGCGTTGTTTCACGGCGTGAATATAGGTGAGGAACGGAGATAGCTGCTAGAAGGCGAGCCAGAAAAGACCAAGGAGTACCGGCAGAAAGAGGAAATCGAGGGAAAAAGGAAAGCTCGTAGCCTTTAAAGAACGCTCGGAACGAAGGCTGGTTCTCTCTCTGTCTGTCGTTGTCCTGCCGCGTCCAATAGTCTCTTTAATCTCCAGTCCTGTCTGCCATTCGTTCTCGAGCTGCCCCCTTTTGCGGAAGAACCCGTTTCTCTATCCTTTTTCTCTTCTTTCTCCTTTCTGTTTACCCCCGTTGGCTTCGTTCGTCGCTGCCCTTTCGGTCCGCTTCGCGCCCATAGCGAGCTCAATGGAGCGGATCGAAATTCCGACCGAGTAGCTAAGGCTGGAATTGAACGAAATTCGGCGGTGGATAGCTGGAGAAGGTACAAAGCGTGGTCTCAGTAAGTAGGCGCCTTTGATTTGCTGTCGAATACGACGACGATGTGGATCCTGGATTTCGGTGAAGACGGTTAGAGACGAAGGGATCTGTAAGACTTGGGTGAGACATGGGTAATATATGGGTGGCATTACCATGGAACTAACTGAATCTGTTTTTAGATTTAAATTGGTGTTTTCTTTTTTAGAAAGATTAACCTGTTGAGGATTTTAAAATTGTTAGAGGACTTTAAGGAATTTCAAGGGTGGATGTCTCGGAAAAAATCGATCTATTAGCTCATAAAATGAATTATACAGAGAATAATTTCGCAGGGTTTTGTTCAGATTTTAATTATTTTTACTAGAAGTATTAATTTCCTCATAGAATTGTTGATGGATTTTGAAAAATCCTAACGATAGACATCTCAAGGAGGTATTTAGTCTATTACTAAATAGAAATAATAACAATGTGTAGCAAATTGTAACTTTTTCTCTAATCTGTAATATCCGTTAGGTGATACTTGTTGAGTTTACTTTCTTGAACACGAAGAATGTGAGATTATCTAAAAGCGCACGATTTTTGTGTTACATAAAAAGTAAGAACCTCACGAGGTTCATTCTTGTCTTACAAATTAAGTGAGAGTATTCTGAGTTTAAAATGTTTACAAATAAACCTCCGATCGTACTTTCTAGCATATTCTTGCATTTTTACATAAAGTTTCTTATATGACAAGAATTTGCTGCACACTAGCGTATTCTGTAGGCTTTTCTGAAGAAGAAACCGTCCAGAAACAACATTAGAATGATGTTCAATAAACTCACAAGTAACTTTCATGGAGAGAATGAATCTTTTAATGTTTTTACACTTCGTGTAGTACTTATTTATCCTATGGAGGCGTGAATACAGTTTTACTTTATAAACCATGTAAAAATTATCAAATTTATTATTAATAATAAATTAATATTGTTAATAACAAATTCTTCCCAACATAAATTTATAATAAAAGTGAAAAAATTAATTAATTATTGCGTATTACTTGAACTTATAACGTCAACTTGTGTTAAAATGTATCTATAATTTGTAAAAAGTTTATAAATTATTGCACTAATTGTTAATAACAAATTAATATTGTTAATAACAAATTGTTCGCAACGTATATTTATAATAAAGATGAAAAAAATAATAAGTTATTGGTTATTAAAGCGGAAAAGTAACTTTTAAAGGAATCGGTAAAGTTCGGAAATTTTCGCCGATCTTCGGCCGGCCGCCGCTATATAAGGGGCCCGCGTGCAGGCTCGAGCCAGTTGTCTCTTCGACTTCGGCGGGGCCGCGTTAATATTTTTTCTTTCTGTTTCAGGTTTTAATTATCTTTCTTCTTTCAGATTCTATTTCTTTTATTCTAGATTTCATTGTTTATGCATTCGAGTATTTTCTACGATATTCGAATGCTTCGTCGTTGGTTCATTTATATATCATCGTTGGCTAGATCAATGGCTATTCAGTGGCCATTGTCCACTCTCTTAAATAATTTAACCATAATTTCTCCTTTCAGGTACTAATTATTTTTTGTTTCAGGTTATAATTATCTTTCTTCTTTCAGATATTATTTCTTTCATTCTAGTTTTTATTGTTTGTGTATTCGAGTATTTCGTACAATATTCGAATGCTTCGTCGTTGGTTTATTTGTATATCATCGTTGGCTGGATCAATGGCTATTCAGTGGCCATTGTCCACTCTCTTAAATAATTTAACAATAATTTCTTCTT